GAGAATTAAAAATAGGGCGCATGTGAAAGTTTATCTTTAGAGAATCCTTCTGCCTTAAGCCACGTTGGGATCCCGTTGACCTTGACTGCCATGGGGGTTGTCCTTTCCAGGTTGGAGTCAGTCCTTGGGTGGTAAATTTCTTTACCAAAACAGAGTCACCAAGTATGAAGGGATGGACCAGATCAGAAGTTGGTACAGGCAGAGTGTCTCAAACGTGCTTCTGGATTACTTTCTGGGTAGACGGTAAAGCCTGTAAGAACTTGAGTGAAGATTGGTTATGGATTTCAGGTTTTCTAGATTGAGTATATAGTACTTATCTCTTAGAAGCTCTGCAAGTTAAGTATGGTTTCATGTAAGCTGGTGAGGTGGGTAGGTCAGGGTCTGGAAGAGTCACTAGAATCTGTAGAGGCCCCACTGGTTTTAGGGCAGCCTCCTGGGCTGCTTTGTCTGCTTCTACTGCCCAAAGGCAGGAGGCGCAATGTGCCCGGAAGCCAATTCCAGCATGTCATAGTTTCAAGAGTTTCATCAAAAGGTTGATGGAACTTGGGGACTCAACAAAGGCTGAGTCACATATGTTGTCACCTGTTGGGAATGGCTAAAGGCATTTCCCCAAACCTGAGACGGGATGGATTGCTTGCTGCCAGAGAGCTCAGGGCATCTTAATCTACATGTTATTGCCTCCTACTGGCCAAACACCTGAACAGCCATAGGCTAATACTCCCCATTCTGACAATGGACTTTGTATAGGAAACCCTGACCCTTTGAAGTATATATCTCTGCCTCACCTCAGGACAAATTGTGTTAATAAAGAGCATGGGTTCCTGAGATGAGGAGATCTTAGTTTCCTTTCAACGAGGATCCTCTGACCCCCAAATGCCTTTCAAACTTATATTTTGTCTCTGCACTCCTTAAGTTATGCACAGCCCCTTTTCCAGATTGCTGAACTCTTCTTAATGTCGGAACAAGAACCCCGGCAACAATGGGGTCAAGTCTTTTGGATAAGTAGGCTACCAGCCTTTTTTTTTTAGGGGCCGAGACTTTGGGTGAGTACCCCTTTGGCTATGCCCTTTGTCTCACATATGTAGAGGTGCAAAGACTTAGTTACATTTGGTAGTGCTTATTGGCCCATCGTCCTTGCTCTGCTCATGTCTGTCTTAGTACCTAATAATTACTTCAAGGATCCTGGCTCTGAATTCTGTTAGGGAAAACGGACGTCAGTGGCTCCTCTGGCTACTTCCATGCTGAAGAGGGACAGAGTTTTCTTTCAGAGCCAAGAGATCCATGCTGTCTGTCAGAGGGACGATGAGGCCTGGGCACAGAAGGAGGTGGGCTTGTGACCTGGTGGAGACAAACTGTAACACATGGTCCGGTGGAAGGGAAAAAATTATTGTAGTTCTAATAGAATTTTTCTCCTTAAAATTACCCTTATGTTTATTAAAAGAGCTAAATTAAGACTAATTTATCTATTGTATTCAATTTGCCCAGATTGTTTGCAACAAGAATGGTAACTGACTACCTTTGCTGGAATTTCATGATTGAGATTTAATGTGCCCCATAGGGCCAGGAAGCCAAGCCATCCAACTGCCCTCAGGCCTGCGTGCAGTATCTGCTGAGTTAGGTGAATCCCTCACCTGCAGCGACTCCACCTGGGCCCACACCCTAGGTTTCAAGGCCCATCTCAGCAGCCCTCCTGCTAATAGTGGCCTAGAGTGTGTGGCGGTTCCGCAGGAACACAGAGCTGCCCTTATTGCCCACCTTCTACTCTGACCAACCACCAGCGATGGCAGGGTATGGGCCTGATGCTCCAGCGCCATCTATTTTCAGGGCTATCAAGCAGGATACCAGGTTTTCTCCATGGCATTTTGATTGGCTTCAAGTCTTTAGAGTTCAGACAGGGCTCTTTAAAACATGATACTCCAGTCAAAGTTTTCGGTTATTGAAACCACTATTGGAAACTCTTATTATTGAATTTATGCAAAGAAATGTATTGCCATGATTTATTTTTATGTATTGCCAATTTTAGAGGAATTATATAAGGAGAAAAATATACTGACCTGCTTTAAGATCTTCTGATTTTCCTTGTCAGCCTTTTTTATGGATTCTTCAGAGTACTATTTTTCTAAATGTATTGTAACAAAACAGTAACTGTCTTTAAATGGCAAGAAGAAATTTAAAATGTGTCTACACTTAAATAGATAGTCACAGCTGTCCCTGTAGTAGGTTCCCCCTACTTGACTTGTCCTTAAACTAAATATGGTTTCGGGGAGGGGTGACACATATTCTCAGAACGACTAAGGGAGACAGTGTGCACATAACAAAGCACTTCTGCAGTGGTGGCTTGGGCTTCAGGCCCCACTATGCTGCCTGTCCTCTTTTCTGTCAGAGACTGCGGCCTTCTCTGCAGGCTCCTTTGCCAGAATGGGGCATCTAGCCCTCTCCCCTTCCAACCTGTCCCCTTTCAGCACATTTACAAATGGGAAACATTATCAGCTTCATCCTCAGCCACTTTCACAGATTCCAGGGCCCATTGCTTGTCCCCTTCCCTATTGTGAGCCAGAGGAAGACAATTCCTACAGAGGGAGAAATAGAAACAGCAGGAGTTTCGGTGAAAACTACAGACTACTACTGTAGCATCCTCCCTCCCGGAGGCTGGGGTCCGACCTGTGGAGAAAAATGACTCTTAGAAGGCCTGGGGAAAAAGGCAGAGGATGACAAGGGTGTGCAGGGAAATTTCTTGTGGACTGAAAGCCTGGAGGCCTCCTGAAAGAAAAGATCTTTAATCCAGTTCCAGATGCTGTCAGGACCAGGAGTGAGGGAGGAAGGGAAAGACCAGGTTATGTCCTCTATGAGGATCCTAATAAATAACTGAAAATGGCAAGCCAAACAAGACATACAAGATATATAACCAAGGTAGACGGGGGTTCGTGAATAGATGATTATGATAACATTAGTTAGATTTCTTTTTAACATTTCTCTTTTCCTTTTTATCGTATATACAACCTTTACAAATTTTATACTTTCAAATTAGTCTTTAAACCTTTTTCTATGTCCTTTAAAAATGCATAACCATGCCTTGGACTTTCTGTGATAAAACTAAGAACAGGTAAATTAAAACTTGTTTTTGTAAAGACTGCTAGACTTTTTCCTTATGTAATTTCAAGGATATTGTATCAGTCTAATTTAGTATTGGAAGGGTTAAAGAGCACTATATGTGGCAGAGAAAGATTTATTGCACATGCAGAAAACTTGTGACCTTGAGTCTAGTGCAGTTCAGATAAGACACCTGGTAGGCTGCGGACCAGACTCCTACACCAGCAGAGCAGTCTCCTACACCAGCGAGTAGAGAATCAACAAAAACCTATCTCTCCCTGCTTCATAATTAACTGCTGACACCCCCTCCCCACTTTCTGCATTAACCATTTACTCTGTCCTGAAACAAGGCAAATGGTCTGAGATCCTGTATATTTAGGCTTCTTACATTTAAGGATTTTTTTTTTGTAACAGTTTCTTTCCCTCACAGATTTTTCCTCTTTACTCAAAGCCCAGAGGATCTTAAATTCTCCTCCTTCACTACTCTTTTTTTAAAGAAGATATATTTTATTGATTTTTTACAGAGAGGAAGGGAGAAAGATAGTTAGAAACATCGATGAGAGAGAGACATCAATCAGCTGCCTCCTGCACATCTCCCATTGGGGATGTGCCCGCAACCAAGGTACATGCCCTTGACCGGAATCAAACCTGGGACCTTTCAGTCCGCAGGCCGATGCTCTATCCACTGAGCCAAACCGGTTTCGGCCTCCTTCACTACTCTTGATCTTTCCAACCATCTTCCTGTCCCCCAGCTGAGGACTCCTCTATCTCAGCAGGCTGAGAGCCTACCACCCTACCCAGCGAATCCCACTACCACCACCCCACACCCACACTCGCTCTGGAGCAGTTCGTCACAGCCTTCAGCCTTACTATACACAATTAGGCTTCCCCCTAAAGTGGGGTTTGCCCTATCTTTAAACAAATTAAACAACAGAAAGAGATAACAAATACTCTTGTGTGTACAGCCAGAGGGCACGATGTAGCTTTCGCTTCACCCAGACTCTCACACTTACATCTATATACCAGACAATCTGAGTTTTTGACTTCTATCAGATATTTACTCAGAGTTTAAACAGTTTACCCGATTCTTGATTAATTACCCAAGGAAGCTGTATGGCTTCCAGGGAGGTGATCAAGCTCCCCCTACCACTCACTTGGAGTGGGCCTGACTGACTGGGACCCCTACCTTACCAATTCTGTCAAAAGGTCCAGAAGTGTCCGTCCGCTCTTTCCAGATGCCAGCCGGGTCCTGGGATGAGATCTGGGAGCACCCAGAGTCCCCCAGTTTAATTCTGCTAAATCAGCAGAGCTGTGCCTCCTGGAGGTCTATCCAGCAGCCCTGGTCCCCAAGCCCAGTCCACTCACCAGAGGCCAAAAAGGTCAAGTGTGGTTGACTTCCCGGTGTTTCAGAGAACCATTAATGTTACAGAAGACTGGAGAAGAACCAAGCAATGATTAGGGAGATGGGGTTAGACTTTTATTATTATTATTATTATTATTATTATTATGTGCAGGCTGAGAGAAAACTGTATTTCAACTTCTGGGCTCCGACATGGAGGAAGTTTCCCTATTTATATCTTTTTACCTTCTTTGTCTCCCAAATATAGGGTTTTCCGGTCCCCTTTGCAAGTTCTTAAAGAGCCTATGTGTTGAGGCTTTGAGACCTCAACAAAAGGCCTGGCCTGGCACCAGCACTGATAACTTTCTCTGGGGAAGGTTTATGGCCTCTCTGGAATGGGAGTACTCATCTTTTTCTTATTATTTAAGCAAGCAAACATTTACAGGAGCCACGATAGCAGGATTAAAATTTCAAAGAATAGTTTTTATACAAGATAGATGCCTCAGTTCAAAATATTTATCTGGAATAAATACATTAGGTGGACTGATGCTTCCGTGCCTGGGACATTTCCTCACAGGGACTCATGGATCCAGAAGCTGCGACCAATGAGACTGCTGTTACTGAGTTCATTCTGCTGGGCCTCGTTGAAACAGAGAAGTTGCAGTCTCTGGTCTTTGTACTTTTCCTCTTTGCCTACCTGCTCACAGTTGGGGGCAACCTCAGCATCCTGGCTGCCATCTTGGTGGAGCCTAAACTCCACACCCCCATGTACTTCTTCCTGGGGAACCTATCCTTTCTAGATGCTGGATGTATCACCGTCACTGTTCCTGCAATGTTGGGTCGTCTGCTGTCCCACAAGCGTACAATTTCCTATGATGCCTGCCTCTCCCAACTATTTTTCTTCTATCTTCTGCTTGGTGTGGACTGCTTCCTGTTGACAGCCATGGCCTATGACTGATTTCTGGCCATTTGCCAGCCCCTCACCTACAGCACCCGCATGAGCCATTCAGTCCAGTGGATACTGGTGGCTGTGTCCTGGGCCTGTGCCCTCACCAATGCACTGATCCATACTATTGCCCTAACTACACTCAACTTCTGTGGTCCCAATGAGGTCAATCACTTCTACTGTGACCTGCCACAGCTCTTCCCGCTCTCTTGCTCCAGCACCCAACTCAATGAGCGGCTGCTCTTTGCTGCTGGTTTCATAATGGCAGGTACACCCTTGACTCTTATTGTCACCTCCTATATCCACATAGCAGCTGCAATCCTACGAATCCGCTCAGTGGAGGGCAGGAAGAAAGCCTTCTTCACATGTAGCTCCCATCTCACTGTGGTTTGCCTCTTGTATGGAACTGGTATCTTCAACTACATGCGTCTGGGTAGAGAGGAGGCTTCAGACAAAGATAAAGGGGTTGGAATTTTCAACACAGTTATCAACCCCATGCTGAACCCGCTCATCTACAGCCTCAGGAACCCTGTTGTGCAGGGTGCCCTCTGGCGGGTAATAACAGGGAAGCATTACTGACTTAATTAGGGTTCCACTGTCACTTCCTCCTATTCTCTTTTGGACTAAAGGAGAAATCCTGTGGGGGCAGTAACTAGGACAAATGACTCAGAACTGTTCCTATCTCTCTGAGCATAAGGATTTTTTCTTTTTTTGGTAGGGGTAATAGTTATTGCTTCCCAAAGAACCCTGCCCAGTTATAGTTTATAAATATGTAAATTAATGCTGTCAGTTCCCTTGACAAATTACAACTTCAGTCACTGTGAGCTCCCTTTTCCGGGTAGAAGTTAAACCTTGGAAGACCTGAATGCCTACAGGTTCAAGTCCCATAGGAAATGACTTTGGTTATAGCCTGGGTATCCCAAATGTTCCTGCAAATTCTCCCCACCAGAGGGTCATCTGATTCCCTGGAGTTCAGCTATAGTTGGTCTGGTAATAAAACATATGCCTAGAGATCAGGATTATTTTACTTATCTCATCAGGCTTCTACAAGTCTAAAAATGCAGCTCATGTCTTTCTATCACACAAAGATGCCCTGGAATATAGAGGGGACAAATGGGAGCTGAATGGTCATGTGTTCTCTAGTAACTCTGGAGAACATGATTCCTGTGTGCAAATTTAATAAAAAATCCTCATTCTACGATATGTTTAATGATTTTAAAAAGAGGGAAATAGAGAGAGAAATATTGATGTGAGAGACAAACATTGATCGTTTGCCTCCCATAGGTGCACCCACTGGTGGTCAAAGACACAACCTAGATATGTGCCCTGATTGGGAATTGAACACACAATCCTGAAGAATGTCAGAAGACACATTCTTCTTCTGTGTCCTCAGGGGTAGGCCCACTGACCTCATTCCAACTGCAGATCTTGAAGTGACCCCATAATCCAGCTCTTACCCTTTGAAGCAGAGGCTAGGAACACTTTTGCCCACTCAGGGACTTGGAGGAAGACAGGGTCTCAAAGGTAGTTCTGCCAAACTTGGTTTGACTGTGGTTCTTGCAGAAGCCCTATAACCAATATTGAATTTCAAAGAGACATCTCAGCAGTTTATTGGGACCAGCTCCAGGCATCCCTGCCAGAAGATTAAACCCTTAAATCCTGAAAAGTGCTCCCATTTCAATGAACTCTTCCTGTTCAATCTTACATTCTATCTACTCCTTAATTCCTCATGACCTGTTCCCATGTTGCTCCTGCATAAACTGTAGGAACTTCCAGTTTATGCCATGATATAGTAGCCAGTGTATTAGTTTCTTATTATTCCTTTACCAAATTACCATAAAGTTGGGGACTTAAGCCAATAGGAATTTATTTGCTTATGGTCTGGAGGCCAATCGAAAATGAGTCCCATAAGGCCAACTTCAAAGTGTCAGCAGGGAAAGTTCTTCCTGGAGGCTCCAGGGGAGAATCCATCCTTTGTCTTGTGGCCACATCACTCCAATCTCTGCTTCCTTCATCATATTGCCTTCTGCTCTTCTGTAATAAAATAATTCTTCTTGTCTATTATAAGGACTCTTGCTTTTTGGGCTTACTTGGATAAAATCGGGCAAGCTCCCTAGCTGAAGACCCCTAACAATCTACAGTCTTTTTCACCTTATTGGGAGTTGATTTTAGGAATTAGGGCCTCGATATCTTTGAGGGCCATTATTCAGTGTGCCACAGCCAGCTATGGGAATTCTTTTCACTAGATAAGTATTTCCTCTTGGATTATAGATGGGATTTTCTTATGCCTAGACCTAACCCTAATTTTTCTGGAGGCACTGAGGAGAAATGGGAGAACTTCTTGAGGAGGATGAGAATCACCTCCTTTGCATGGTCTTTGCAAAATAAATAAATAAATAAATAAATTTTTTTAAAAAATGGACTCCCTCTAGCAAGGGAGCAAGGATGCTTTTACCAGTCAAGTTCAGGAGCATTTGATTTTGGGGATTCCAAATGCTCATGCTCACCGTCTCAAATTTTCCCATTCAGGACTCAAGGTCTCACCCCTTTCTTCTAAGGGCTCTGGACTTAGCATAGGACATGCAACTAAGCTACACATTCATCATCCCTTATAGCTCTACCACCCTTACAGTTAGGTCCAAGGTTGGATTTTCTGCACTGTCTGCCTTGTGGCTGCTGAAGATGAATGTCTCATTAAGTGTTGCTATGGAAGTATTCTGGTTTTCACAACATACCTTGTTAGCTGGCTGACCTAGGTTCATCATTCTATTTTTTCAAGACTTGTAAGGTTAACAAAAACCACCCTTTATTTTCAAAACTCCACTATTCTTATAATTACCATCCTATCTAATAAAAGAGAAACATGCAAATTGACCATATCCCCAACACCATTCCCATTGGCTAATCAGCAGGATATGCAAATTAACTGCCAACCAAGATGGCAGCTGGCAGCCATGCAGCTGAAGCGAATAAAAGGCTTGCTTGCTCCAGTGACAGAGGAAGCCAACGTTCCCTGCCTGCCGCTGCCAGCCTCTGAGCTGCACTCTAAGCAACTATGTTGCAATTATAGAAGTGAAACAAGCTCCAGAGACCTGCTTTCAACCAGCTTTGGCCTCGTTGCTTAGAACTGCAGTGATGGCAACAGAGCTTCAATTATAGAAGCCAAACAGACCCAGAAACCTGCTTTCAGCACTCAGAGCTGGAGCCGGCTCTCAGCTCCAGTGACAGCTATAGAAGCTAAATAAATCCCAGAATAAAAAAAGAAAAAGAAAAAAAGGAGAGGCTGGGAG